GCACGGTTAACTTGTTTACAATATGGGGTATGGTGGTTCAAGATTGAAACTGTTCTGTTGAAACTGTTTTTCAACGAATCGTTTCACTTTAATTAGTATACGATTCCCATAGATATCATTTGCACAACAAAGAATTAAGCCCTCTTTGATTTGATGATGAAAAAAAAATGGGTTCGATTAAATCGGATATTAGCTATGACATTATGCATCAGATACTTTCATTATTCGAACAGTGAAGGGGCGTAGTATTACCTGCACAGTTTAAATCAAGATAAAAAGTCCTTTGGCCATGGTTATTATAAAGTTAGCGATATGTTTGAGACCGGTCAGAGACGCCTCCCCCTTTGCGCCTGTCCGTCGGGGTGGTTGCAACAGGTTGCAGTAGCAACACCACTACGACCACCATTACCAACGAAGCCGAGAATTCCCCTTTACCCCCTTCTCAATGGGTCGACCAATTCCCGCACGCAGAACCCCTTAATGTGCGCCAGCAGGTGGTCCCCATAATCGTGAAGCTATGCTTTGTTGTAGAACAATGTCAGCCCTAAGGATTTATACATTCCAATCCTTCTTTTAATGGCTAAGTATCAAATGAGAGAATGAGAAAGAGAGAGAGAGAGAGAGAGAGAGAGAGAGAGAGAGAGAGAGAGAAAGAAAAAAACGGTTCTATCCTTTTGTTACCAACTTTTAACTCGGATAAACAAGGTTACTGTGATCCTCCCTTGGTATAGCAGGTGACTCATAAATCCAGCTACGGGGTTCGATCATAAATTGAATGCATTCATCTATAAACATAAAATTCTTGGGAATTTTCCTCTCTCTTCATTTTACCAGACTTATCAGATTGTTACATGGCAGATATCTCTCGTGGTGGAAATCCTTAAGGTGTTACGATAAAGCAGTATATTTTTATCTTCGTTATCATTCTTCAAAAAAAGGGGAGCAACGGCTCGGTGCGTATACATATAAGTTGTTTCTGTATCTTTCTTTTTCAGTAGTCTAAAGTTTATTAGTATCCTTCACAGAAATGTTAAGTTTCATTAGAAATGATAAAAGAAATTATTCTTCTATACGTTTCTAAAGATGACGAAAAATCCATGCTAATTTTGGTCTAGTATCGCGAAATAATAACTAATGCGAAGACTACGTGTTACGATGTACAAGAAGAAAGACTAAATGCGTTGAATACAGCCTGACGTAATGTAGTGTGGGAGCGGCGTAGCTCTTTGGGGGTCAACGCCCCGTCTCTCTAACACCCATTGTTTTCCTACAACCCTATCACAATCAAAGTAACTAAGGTATGTTACTGTAATAATGTGTTGAGCGAATAATGAATTACTATCGGGATATTTTTATCTATTATCAAATTTTATCGATATGTTTTCTATGAAGAATACAAAATATCTATTATAATCGTACTACCAATCAATATTCCAAATGTAATCTAATTGAAAAAAACAATGAAAGATAAATTTCAAGTTGTACGATAAAATATATATATATGGTCGTATCGCCATGATACACCTGTTCTTAAACTTATTTCTTCGATGAACCAACATATCGGTAAAAGGTGGACATCTCTGAAGATGAAGAAGAAGAAGAAAAAAAAAATGAGTAAAGAATCATGAATTTTATTAAACATACGCATCGTACATAAACCACGAAGAAAAGCTACGGAGCTCTCAAACGATACCGTTAAACTGACTTCCGTCTGTCCACCTACCTACCTGCCTGCCTACCTACCTACCTACCTACTTTCTTCCTTGTACATCGTCCCGCAGTATTGAAAGAATTTATATGGCGAGAGATAGGGAAGCATTAATGAAACATGTCGAGCAAATTTTAAATCAATGGTATCGTCAAATTTTCTTCGACATTTGCAAAAAGTTTCTACCGTAGAATGGCATGATGAAATAAAATTCGAATAATATTCGTCATGTCGATCACTTCAACGAGATCTGTCTTAAGGGCCGCTCACACTCAACTAACGATTATTTTAGAATAAAATACGGGCACGAATTGGCTCGCAATAAAATTTCAAGTACCTAAAGGTATGTCACACCCTTGGGGAAGATTATTGTGAGGCACTGTACTCGTACGTATGTATGCATCCCGTATAGGATCGAGAGAAATTGGTCTGTACAGTCGTTACTGTAGTCCTCGGTACCCCTTGCTCGTTCAACGACCCTGCATGACGCTCGCTCATCGCTTCATGCACGCATGCACGCACGCACGCACGCACGCACGTGATGAGAGAATCGGAACGAAAGTGAACTGTAGAACGACGACGTCGACGACTATGTGAGCAACGTATATGGTGACGGGGAAGTTTTAAGATATCATTTTGTTTTTCATTTCTACCCGTTTAATAGTATACAGTATGTGACCCTTCACGAATAAATTTAGTTTGATTTTTTTCGAATAAGAATAGTTTAAAAATAACTACGGTCCTGCTTGCGCAACAGTGTTTTAGTTCCTCCTACCTTTGTATCTTATTTAAATACCTAAATATTTCGTTACGAGTTGAATTTCTTTTAAGAATGTCACGTATCCTATATTGCAAGACATGATCCTTTTCCCTTGGAACAGGTTGGACGAGCCTAACAGGAAGACAACCAAAATTCTGAAAAAATAGCTTTGATAGATATAAAATAAAACTTGGACTCATTGATTAGATTGACAATAAGACTCAGTGCGTTTCCACGCATACTCGTTCAATCGAAATCGACTTTCGTCGAAGTGAGGTCACGCTAGTTAGCTAGGGTGAGAGAAAAAGAGTCGGAAAGAGGGGGGGAGGCAAGAGTCAACGACAACAGGAAACGAGACGTAGTATCACTCGGCACCGGACGTCGTAACTTCCGAGTCCTTTGGTCTCTGCTCTCCCCCTGTGTTATTCATTGCTACGCATCGTCGGGGTATCCATCGGCTGCGACGAAGAAAACCCTTGCGGAGATTTTCATCGGCAGAGGGCGCATTAGATAACAACCAAAGCACCAGCAATAAGGTAATGGCAATGTTCATGTTGAAAATGGCTTCTTAGGATATCACGAGTAATGCACCCGCTCTAACGCGCCCTTTCCTACAAGGATAGAGAAAGAAAGTAAGAAATGGTGAATGAGAGAGAAAAAGAGAGGGAGTGAAAGAAATCAAGGAAGGAGGGAGAGAGAGAGAGGGGTAGAGAGCGTGAGCTCAGAGGTGGAACGTAGAGAAAACGGGCAGGGCGCGAGAACGAGAGAGAGAGAGAGAGAGAGAGAGAGAGAGAGAATGAGAAAGAGAAAGAAAGAAAGAAAGAGAGAGAGAGGAAGAGGGTGGGGAGACAGAGGAAAGGAGGAGAAGTGAGCTCCTTACAGTGCATTGCCTTACGATCTTCCCCAAGTTCCCGTCGCACCCCGGACGCCGACAAATCGCGTCCAACGTGCTTCTCATGAAGAGATCCACAAAAGCAGCTTCGCCGTCGAGAGAGATTCGGGTCGTCGCTTGGCGGTGGCTCATCGAGAGAGAGAAAGAGGATAGGGGTGGAGGGGGAGGAGTCAACTCAACTCGTGTATAGATGTATGCGTGAGCGCGCGTGTGCGCATGAGGACGCGAGAGAACACACAAATACACGCATTACACGCGATGTATACACGTGTATGTATTTATGTTTGGGTTTCGTCTGTATATCATCTTTACGTATGTAGGTTTATATGTGCATATGAGAGGGACAAGGAGAAAGAGAGGGTATAACACCGCACCCCGTTCGTTCTTCTTAGCTTTCTTCCTTCTCTTCGAAGGAGAAGCAGTCGTCGGCAACGGTGAAATGACGACGACGATGACGACGACGACGACGATCGTCTTGTCCATGCGAGCGTTCTTCTTTACGTCCCTCTTCAGAATACGGTGAACTCTGCTTATACGCTTTCCGTCTTCTCTCTCATCTCCTTTCTCTCGTTGAGAGGAAAGAGAAAGAGAGAGAGAGAGAGAGACTTTCACCAAGAGACGCTATGCCAGTTCGGAGGGCTACAGGGTTATCATCCGGGGTTCTCTCTCCTTTTACGACTTACGCTTTTGGCGCGGAATTTATGCGGTGGTATGACTTCACGCTGCACTCTCGTCCTCCTTTTCGAACGTTCGCACGTCCTTCTTTAGGATACCATTTGCATTTTCACTTACGTAATCCGACAACCGAATTTCCTTGCAACCGTCTGATATAAAATACGGCAAAATCAGTTACGAAAATAATTTTCAGAATGAATTTCAAGTGGCTATCAGGTGTACTCATGCTTATTTAATTGCGAAACTTTTGATAATCGAAAAGATTCGATAAATTGCTTTATGATTGACTTTTAACGTTAGAAATTAACCGAGCAAGTAATTTGGTTACTTTAAAAAAAAAGGCACGACTTCAAAATATTTACATAACTTTACGCGAATGCTATCTCATTGTATTTCGTAATAAAAAGAATTATTCGAATTTATTTCCCCGACGTGAATAAACACAAAGCATCGAATTAGTTGTTCCCATATTCGATTTGATAGTCTTGCTCGATGTATTTACATGTGTAAATGTTAATGTAAATGTTAATGTAATATATCATGCACGTAAATGTCTGGGTATGTGTTTATGCTGAGTGTTTGCATTTATGTTCGTATGAACTTGTTTTGCTTTTCATGGAAGCTTTGTGGTTCATTCCATGGAACTTGTTAAAAGTAAGGACCAAAGGAGGGAAAAAAGCGGGCGTATAGTCGATCAAGTCTTTCAATGGCATCTATCGTCTAGCAGGTTGTACACAAGTTGTAACTCAAAGATGGGGTTGACTGTCCTTCTAATCCTCGTATCCGCATTAACCTTTTTCTCTCTCTTTCTCTTTCTTCGTATTTGTATGCGCGTATATATGTATGTATGTGTGGTTAGCGCCCTTCTCTTCCTACACCTCTTACCGCATTGCAATCTTCTAACGGTTAATCGACTTCGACGACTTTTTCTGAGCAATCGATCTAAATCTCTGCGCGTCGTGCCATCTAGCGGATTATTTGTAACAGAATCAACATGCTACTTGCGTAAGGGATTTTTGTCTCTTTCCACTAACATAACCTATCAAGGGTAATTTTGAATGATGAATTAAAAATCTAAATCATTTTGTGTGTGTGCGTGTATGTGTGTGTGTGTCATTTTAAAATGGCTTTTTTAATTAAACAATTAAAGGTCGGAGAATTGATGAAAGTATCTGTTAGATATAAACATGGTCCAAATCATTGGGTAAATATTTTCATGTATTTTATTTAGTATTATTATACTGAAGTCCTGCTATATTTTCTTACTAATTAATTGATTTTTTATGGTCATTACATTACTGCATATTTACGTAATTTGTATTTTAAAGTCTGTGATCCGGAAGAAAAAAAAGAGTAAAGACAAAGCATTGGAATATTTTGACGACTTTTACGCTAAAGTATATGGAAAAGCATGGGATAAGATAAGAACCGCATTGCTACAAGAAGAAACAAAATATATAGCAGTGGTTAATAACTATAGCGATGTGGAAAAAATACAAACAACTTTGGAGGTATAATATCTACTTGTATTCTATATCAAAGTTAAAGAATTATTTTTTACGTATATTTGTATATATCATAGAATTATGGAGCGATAAATGTAAAATCAATATATGATGTATTTCTGGAAAATCCAGAAGAGAATAATCAAAAATCTATCAAACAAAAGAATTCAAAGAACACTACTAAGCCAAATGGTAGGATAGATAATGTGATATCAGAAAAGCAAAAGGCAGAAGTACAATCGCTTTACCCATCTGATTATGAACCATCTCCTGAATTGTTGAACTCTACAGAGTCTACAGAGACAAATGATATAACTGACAATATTGATAAACCATTACAATCAGTGCAATTAAAATCTATTGCCGATGATTCTAATGAAATTAATATTGATAACAGTCGTATCGTTCTTCCCACTGATAGCACAACAGGACTTTATGAATTTATACCGGTAACAAAATTGAAAGGTTCATAAATATACTACTATTTAATATATAGAAACAGTAAATATCTACAAAAAGCACTTCATTTTTCATTTTATTATAATATAGGTTTGGAAGATTATGTCCTAGAATCTGAACATTATGAATATTATCGGAAGGCAGGTGATTTTGAAATACCTGTGGAAAAAGAGAAAATTTTGTCTTTTCCAAAATATCTTAAATGTTATACATACGAAGAGTTTAGCAATGAAAGATTTCCAGCTCCCAAAAAAGGATCCACCGGAGTATTAGGTTTGATTTAATTTGATTTTTATATGTAATATTAAATCTATCTATTTCTTATCTATTTTATCTGTTATGTGTATCGATGTATTTTATTGTTATTTTGTAGATTATTATCTTTTTGATGGAGGTTCGTTACTTCCTGTTTTGGCTCTTGATTTACAATTAGGTGATTATGTATTAGATATGTGCGCAGCACCTGGAGGCAAGACTCTAACAATTTTACAGACACTTATGCCCAGTTTAGTGGTAGCCAATGATTTATCAATATCTAGAGTTAAAAGAATAAAGCAAGTTATAGACCAATACATAATAGATATAGGAGAGATTAAAGAAAGATTAGTTATATCGGAACAAGATGCTCGTAGAATTGAAGATAAAAACATCTACAATAAGGTACTATATATAGATTGAAAAAGTAACTTTGTTTTACATATTGATTAGAATTTCTTATTTTCTTTAACTTGGATTATAGATACTTGTCGATGTCCCATGTACAACGGACAGGCATGTATTACACGAAAATGATAACAATATTTTTAAACCTTCAAGAATCAAAGAAAGATTGAAAATGCCAGAAATGCAAGCAGAAATTTTATAGTTAGTATCATGAACATTTTAAATATATTATCATTTGCTATTACTTTAATTATTACTATTAATATTGTAGCAATGCATTGAAATTAGTAACTGTTGGCGGTACCGTTGTATATTCAACCTGTTCTCTTAGTCCGATACAAAATGATGGCGTTGTACAAATGGCATTGAAAAGAATATGGGAAGAAAGTAACACTGTTATAGTTGTAAAGTAAGTTATTTATAAAAAAAACTGCATTATTACTTTCTTAATAATATTTTTGATACTTTTTTCATATAAAAATTTAAATACAAACTAACGAAAATAATATATTATATTTACAGAGATATGACAGATGCTTTAAATCCATTGCAAACATTATTTAATTTTGGAAATTTTGGTTTAAAACATGGGCATATTGTTATACCTACTATCGGTTATAACTGGGGTCCTATGTACTTTTGTAAAATGATTAAAATGAAATCATAAAGATAATAAAAAATAGTTAGAAGAAATTTTTACTCCATTTTTCATAGATCGTATATATTATGTATATATAAAAACTTTTTACATAAAAATAGTCTGTAAATATTCCTGTGATAATTCGACTGCTTGCAGTTTTTTAAAATTGCGCATTAAGTCTTTCAATATATTCAAAATACTAATAAATAGTATTTATTAATTGTTAGAAATTTGCTGAAGATTATTTATGTCCAAGGATATAAATCCTTGTTAATAAAATATATATTAATTATACGTAAAAATCTATTAATTATTATGAAATACTTTTAAACTGTGTTATATACAAAAAAAAAAAAATTGCAAATTTTATATATTTCGATCAGAGTGAAAAATCTTAAAGACAAATCAAGAAAAGAGAAATAACTATAATATGTAATGAACATTAATTAAGCTTCAAAATCTAATAATATAAGAATTTTAATAGTTAACTAGAAATTTACGCATTTTCTGGACGATTTTTCGCATCACACGTGATATGTAGTAGTAGTGTTCTGATTATTGAATGATGTATTAATTAAAAACTATCGCAAAAAACGATGTACATTACATACTATCTAAAACGCACATACAGGTGCAAAGTATATCGTGCAATCACTAACACAATAACAGCCGCCAATATGGGAAAAAATTACAACTAAACTCATACTAACCATTTCTCAACCATACGTGTAACACCTGGGCACACGCATAGATGAGAACGCAGAAAGTATGGGGAGAAGAAACGGAAGATTAGTTTATTAGAAGCTGAAAATTCTAATCTAAAAAACATAATTAACATATATAAACACATCAAAACATTTTATTTCATCTAAACGGGCTAAGACTCTACAAGTCATTTGGATTTGACTTTTTGATTGTAAGAATTGTTAAATTAAATTTTTTAATATTAAAGAATTTTAAAAGAGAAAAATAAATATATATAAACAACCTCAGATGACTTCTTTCATTAAGTTGGCTGTTCTAATAAAAGAACTGGGCTTTGAGCCACCACTTAACTGTAAGAATCTATTCGTCGCGAATGAGTTTATCTTCTTGCTTATTTATTTATAATATTAAAGTATCGATATATAAAAATTAATCGTGATTAGATAAACTAAGTACGAATAAATGCATGTAAGACATTTATTACATGCTTTTCTAAACGAAAACAAGTAAATTAAAGCTCGATTTCAACACTACTAACCACGAACAAAACGCGTATTAAGAAATAAAGTGCATTAATTAATTGCATTCTAAAATAAATGAATTTAACCGATGAGACAAGAAAACCTATCCTGAACTAATAAAACATACAATACAATACAATATAAAATTTTCATGAGTAATTCCAAAAGAAGAATTACTCATGTGCTCGTCAATAATTTATGTAAATAATTACAACCAGTAACTCGTGCCGATTAGGATCTTTCATCCTCGACATGATTGAGCACCGGAGGGACTTTAAATTTTCTACTCACTACGTAAGAAGTTCTAGGATGGCTCTAAAACACTCCTACTTTGTAGCAGTCTAATGATAGGTAAGTTCCTCGATTTGCTATTGAAGAAGATCCATCGAAGATCCCTCGAAGAATTTATTCCACATATTTCTACAAGGTTGCAAATCCGTCGTACTATCTGTAAAATAAAATAGAACAAAACGATAAATTATTTACAATATAATCCACAATCGTATAAAAAAAAATTGAATAAAATGTAAATCTAAATGAATACTTACAATGCATTCCAATGGGATGCAGCTCTATGGCACCATGGTGATGCATCTCGCGTGAATCTAATAACGCGTTATTAACGAGAAAATAAGAAACTATAAATAAATTTCTTATCGCGAAATCGAAATTTTATTATACGGCGAACAACACTGACTTTAATTCGCGTATGATTTTAATTTATTATGCGCCCGATCACTGACTCTACAACTGCTTCCAAAGACTGCTTTGCACACAGTCAATGCAAGTACAAAAATCTTCATTGATGCACTGATTCTAATACGCGAACAGTCTGTGCGACTGTTTAAAGATAAAAATACAACTTTACTCGAACAAACTCTAATGCAATTACACTGCATTGRTCGCAGTTAATTTAATATATAAATTTCAAAAATAGTTCGCTAACGCGACGGAATTCAAATTAACGAACGAACGTGCTTCTAATCCGTGATTTTAATTTTATTTAAACGGATCAAACACTCCCGTATATTGCTTCGCGCACGATTGCAATGCACGAACACTTGCAACACTTCACAAACACTATTCACAACACTTCCAACGCTGCAATTTTCCCATGATGATCTGAAATAGAAATAAAAACAAAATTATTAATATCATTGTTGTAAGAAAAAATTATTATAATTATTAAGAAAGTGTTTAAAATAAAAATTGACTTACGTTTATTCTTCAGTGATGAATGCACGATGGGTTTCCTACCCTTAGGATGACGATGAGCACTCGTTTAAAACGAATAAAAGAAACTTACGGAGTTTCTTTACCCGAAAAAACGAAACTTTGACATACGACGTACACACTGACTCTACTTTCCGATTCTTTTATATTTTATTTTATCGATGCAACACACGAGTACTTCACACACTTTAAAAAATATTCTATCATAAAGAATCAATGTTAGATATAAAAAGTTGTCTAATCAGCCCTGTTATCGAATGTTTTAATTAGATAACACGTTAGAAATAAAATTATTAAATAGTTTAATACGTAACGTCCGTGTTAGATCTTAACACGTTGAAGGACGGAAGGGGAATGAGGTACGTTATTGCTTATCCTTCGTCGAACGTTCGGCTGTGTCGTTTTGTTTTCGGCTGTCTTTCTTATGTTTTCACCTCGAGAAATTCCTACAAATATACATAACATTCATAATTGCCTGTAGGTGAATGTTATGTTTTCTTATTCTCTCTCTCACTCTCGTTCTCACTCTTTCTATACATTTCTATATAGGTTAAAAAAAGAATAACGCTTACCTCGATGAATATGAAGATAAAAAAGAGTAAACACAATAGTTAGACTGAACAGTATCTGTATTCCTTTTGGCTCTCCCAATGCTCGAAAACTAAAATAAAATAAAAAAAAAAATAAAATTACATTAGTACAATATAAAGAAAATCAAATACATGAGTGTATGTGTACGAGCTACCTATACTTATGTATATATGCCAGTATGTGTGTGTGTGTGTGATAAAAGTCGAATTTAATATGAAATACGATCTGTAAAGACATAATATTATAAAAAATAAATAATTAAATTAATAAGAGCATTATATTCTTAAATTTTATTGATTAGGTGTATTATTCCCTTTACACACATGCGCAACGTTCGGAAAGTCATATAAACAACATTCAATAAAAGTAATTTTCTAGATGACTTTGACTCAGTCTAACGGAAGACTTCGAAGGAGAAGGTACATAGATCATAATTTCGGAGCTTTTTAACAACAATAGACATTTCTATCGATTAATTAACAATTTTTTAAATATTTTAATACATTCTCTTTATATTT